TATAATCTTATTGTTCAGTTCGTAGCTGTAAGAAAAAAGTTTACCTTTCGCAAATTCTGTTCAATATTTCAATGATGTAAGCAATCGTTTTGTAGTAAATAAAATATTAAAGTCTTCTAAGTGTTGTTTTTGTGTGTTTTTGCTGGATAGTTTTTATTTTCGGTAATGTACTAGAGTTCGTCTCTAGGACTAGTGTCATGCCATTTAGACATAACTGGATTAATCTTTATCTATTTGCGGTGGCATAAAAATACCATCTGAGGCCAGTAACAAATTCATTTTAATAAATTTAATTATAAATTACTAAGATAGTTACTCAATAGTGCAGTTGTCAGAGATATGACCTTTAAAAATCATAGGAACAAGATGAATTTTGCTGAAAATGACAATTTTGTAGTCCCAAAAGAGTATCGAAATGGATGTATTGATTGAGAGAACTACTTGGCAAGACATTAGTGCATGTAGTTCGGAAGTCAAGTCTTACTATTTTTATAGAGCTAATGGAATCAAAAGAGGGTTGCGTCCTGTCCCCATTGTTATTTAATCTGTACAGCGAAGCTATTTTTAAAGAAGTAATATTTAAGGCAACAGAGTATATCAATAAACGGAAAAATGTTGAAGAACATAAGATTCGCAGACGACACCGCTGTTTTTGCAAATAGTCTAGAAGCATTGCAACGCTTATTAAATAGATTATATCAAGTCAGTATAAAATATGGACTACAAATGAACGTTAAGAAAACCAAGTGCATGATTATTCCTAAACAGCATACAGTAAGAAGGCTAGATATCGAGGGAAAACAAGTAGAAAGAGTGAATTATTACAAATATCTGGGAACCTGGCTAAATGAAAACAATGACCAAGGTAGAGAAATAAGGACACGCATTGAAATTGCAAGACAAGCATTTATAAAAATGAAAACAATGGGATTGCGAAGTCATCAAGAAAGCTGGAATATTTAGGCCACATTACCAGAGATGCGAAATATGGGACATTAAGGCTCATAATGCAAGGTAAAATCAAGGATAAAAGTTCCATAGGAAGACGAAGAATTTCTTGGCTAAGAAACCTAAGAGAGTGGTATAGTTGCAGCTCAGTAGATCTTTTCAGAGCAGCCGCCAATAAGGTACGGATAGCTGTGATAATAACCAACCTCCGATAGGAGAAGAAACTACAAGAAGAATATTGTTATTAGTCTAGGCGGGATCTGTTTTGGATTGGAAATTTTCGAGGGAAGCTATTTTTTTGCTGGAATCCCTTCAGGATATGCCCAGTATCGATAATCACGATATGCGCCAGTCGCAAACCCTGTGCAAAATTTTTTATTTAACAAAATCTGAAAACAATTGAAAATTTCTCATTTTTTTGCTCCTATTTTCATTTATAATTCGAAAAATATTGATCTTAGAGAAAAAATTATAAGTGGTTAAAAGTTTCGTTATTAAATTTTACACAATATTTTGTTAGCTAGAAATTGAAAATTTAATGGTTATTGCTGAAAAAATAGCAATAATTGGAAAAAAAAGTACAAAAAAATGAAGTTAATCCTTTAAATGTTTTCGACTTTCTAAACTTGACTTGCAAGTTCCATATTCCGCCTAGAAAAACTTTTTAATATGTTTAAAACGTGTGCTAAATTTTGTTAAGATCGGTCGGATAGGTTTTGCATAATAATTTTGCAATCCAGCCTACTGGAAAAAAATCGCATATTTTCAAATTCATAGTAGGTCCTAAATAAGGCCTTCAGATAGTTGCAATTTTTTTTACATATAAAGGAAGTCTCACACTTTCAAATGCTTTTTGTAAAATTCAAATCGGTTTACTAGGAAAGCCTATAAATTTTTTTAAAGTTATAAACATTTTTTAGGCTTATAAACAAATTAAATAACTTTACGAGCTTTAAACATATCAATTTCAAAATGTATACACTTAAAGAACATTAAAAGACGCTTCTTTTAAAAAACAAAAAGATACATTCGGCTTACTGGTTGCCGAGATATTGAAGGTCAAAGTTGGTATACATTTGCCGTGTAATCATAAGTGATAGAGGGCTCGTTTTTAAACAAATACCCTCGTCTTGCCAAATACTTTTTATATGAAAAGTTTTACATAATGCGCTTCATGGCAACATCCATAAAAAAGACAAATAAAAAACCGTTTTCGCGTAAAATGTCGCTCGGAATGCATGAGAGGTGGTGTTGAGGGACATTCACTTCAAATGTGAATCAGCGAGTATTAAGTAGGGGACCATCAGTTTGTTTAATTTCGGGTTTTGAAATATAAACAAAAGTAAAGTGCTCCAAAATCTGTAAGGGCTTGTAAAGTAAATTGTTACTTTTAGTAAACAAATATGTATTTATAAATTGTTAATAAATAATTTGAATTGTTAAAACGAAGGAAATTTTTTTTTGTAAAAATCAAACATTTTAAAATAATTAACATTAAAAATAATTTATTTCTGCAGTTTTATCATAATAATGACATTATTTGATTTGAGAATATATTTTTATTCGAAAGTGACGCGTATATTGTATATTGACGTGTTATTATACTGCTGTGTAATGCTCGAAATTGTTTTTTTTTTGAGCTTGCAATTTATACATTGAAGTAAATTGTTACTTTTAGTAAACAAATATGTATTTATAAATTGTTAATAAATAATTTAAATTGTTAAAACAAAGGCAAATGAAACAAAAATTTTCTTTTCATAAATAATCTTTATTTTGACTTAATCTTCAATAATTTTTTTTAAGTCTTTTTCTTTTTTTGGAAGGACAAGAATCTTCAGGTTTTATTTCTTCCTCAAAACCTTCATTTTCCATTTCAATATCTTCATCCTCGATCTGTAAATTTAATGTTTCTTCTCCTTCATCTGTAGCTATATCTTGTGCCTCCAAAAAATCTAAGGAATCCATGGACTCCATATCCATATCTCGTTCAACTTCTTCCAATATTTTATTGTGATCAATATTTTTACATGTTTGACCATTGCAGTGAAGACAATAGTCAGAACATTTGAGACCATGTTTGATACAACTGCATGTTTTTGTACAAAGTTTTTTACATTTACAACTAATATTTCTGAATAATGAGTCAGGTAGTAATACTTGCTCAGTTTGTATTGGCTCAAGACCATTTTGAGTTAGTTCCCACCCCCACTCAGTAGCGTTCGGGTTATTTCCAAGCCACTGCTGTACTTGGAAATATACACGAATCGAGTGTTGCTCAGCTGCAGATTGTGTAGGTGGCAGCATGGACAATTGAAAATTTTTATTTTTGCAACCTTTTTTAAAGCACAAGTACAATTTTATTCAATGTTAAATCGCACTTTGAGTGGCCCATACACAATGCCGATATAATTTTGCATCCGCTGCGTTTAATTTCTTCCTTAGTGGCACTTTTTTCATTAAAAATGGTTGCTTCTTGCCATATATCATTATTTGTTGAAACCAATTTAACAATTTTGCTTTTTCCTTGATAAAAAAATGCAAAGGTTGTATCACAACCAGAAAATGCGTGTAAAAAGCCCACTAAATTTTTTAACGAAGATTTCGTAGATTCACTTATTTTAAGTGCATTATTGAAAGAGTTATAGTAATAAATTTCTTCCGATTTTTTTCCTTTGCTAGGTTTCCAGAAAAAAATATTTTTATTTTCAGTTACCTTTTGTAAAATTATTACCAGAACATCAATATCCTCTGCAATTATAAAAACTGGATTGTTATCTGAGGCTAATATAAACTTGATACTCGCCGATTCACATTTGAAGTGAATGTCCCTCATCACCACCTCTCATGCATTCCGAGCGACATATTACGCGAAAACGGTTTTTTATTTGTCTTTTTTATGGATATTGCCATAAAACGCATTACGTAAAACTTTTCATATAGAAAGTATTTGACAAGACGAGGGTATTTGTTTAAAAACGAGCCCTCTATCACTTATGGTTACACGGCAAATGTATGCCAACTTTGACCTTCAATATCTCGGCAACCAGTAAGCCGAATGTATCTTTTTGTTTTTTAAAAGAAGCGTCTTTTAATGTTCTTTAAGTGTATACATTTTGAAATTGATATGTTTAAAGCTCGTAAAGTTATTTAATTTGTTTATAAGCCTAAAAAATGTTTATAACTTTAAAAAATTTTATAGGCTTTCCTAGTAAACCGATTTGAATTTTACAAAAAGCGTTTGAAAGTGTGAGACTTCCTTTATATGTAAAAAAAATTGCAACTATCTGAGGGCCTTATTTAGGGCCTACTATGAATTTGAAAATTTGCGATTTTTTTCCAGTAGGCTGGATTGCAAAATTATTATGCAAAACCTATCCGACCGATCTTAACAAAATTTAGCACACGTTTTAAACATATTAAAAAGTTTTTCTAGGCGGAATATGGAACTTATAAGTCAAGTTTAGAAAGACGAAAACATTTAAAGCATTAACTTCATTTTTGTACTTTTTTTTCCAATTATTGCTATTTTTTCAACAATAACCATTAAATTTTCAATTTCTAGCTAACAAAATATTGTGCAAAATTTAATAACGAAACTTTTAACTACTTATAATTTTTTCTCTATGATCAATATTTTTCGAATTATAAATGAAAATAGGAGCAAAAAAATGAGAAATTTTCAATTGTTTTCAGATTTTGTCAAATAAAAAATTTAGCACAGGGTTTGCGACTGGCGCATATCGTGATTATCGATACTGGGCATATCCTGAAGGGATTCCAGCAAAAAAATAGCTTCCCTCGAAAATTTCCATTATGGTCTGAATTTCTACAGATGCCGCCTAGTCTATATGCGCTTAGTTAAATTAGAATTAGTTTTTAATTTATCTATTATTATAATTTTAAACCAATTTTTAAATACCAAATTTTTAAATCTATTTTCTTGAACTTGATCTTCTTTACGAATATGAACCAGTTTGTGCGACTTTTTTCTCGGTGATATTTATTAAAAATGAAGTTGTAATTGATATATGTGATTAATGCACACTTACTTAGGCAATAATGTAGCTATTAATCTCTGCGCCTCCTCAGGGGGCGGCGGAAAGTCGTCCGGATCTCCAGGTCTAACAGGTGTCGTAGGCGATCTTAATTGATGTGGAGACAGTATCGGCGGAGGGGGATTTTCGTGATGTTCCGCCAGAGGTTTAAAAGATAAATTAAATTTAGCTTTTCGACCGTTCATACTCATGTATCCGTCGTCTTCCGATTGGTGACCACCCAACGAAGGACTCTCGTCGTCAGGGGTTGTCGTTGCTCCACTGTTAGGAGCAGTGGAGTTATGATGATGGTTGTTGCTGGTGTGATGACGGAGTTGAGGCGTTGAGGTCGAAGTAGTAATCTGTTGAATCTGTAATAAAACAATATATGAGATTTATGACTTAAATTACTATACTACCATATTTGCAGATGCGCATTTGACTATGCTACAAGTATTTCTTAACCTTGCGTTAAGATCTTCAAGAATAACTATTGTATCATATTTCTATACCCTGTCTTACCGAATATACTGAATACCCTAAAAGTATTCAGTTTACCTTCCCGTTTGCTTATGTCTAGGTGATAAACTGATTTAATAAATGAAGTGTACTGTTTTCCATACTGAACATAATCTTCAGGTTTTTGTGGCTGACATATTCGGAGAGGTGGCATTCGGATTTTTTGCAGAAATAGTTAGGTGATAATTTCAGTAATAATTGATTTATCCTCCTTCTCAAATTATCGGAAACATTAATAAAAAAATTAAAATATCTAAAAATTACTAAAAACATCGAGTTTTGTCTACTTTCCTCGATGCCTTTTTTTAACCATATTTATGGGAGGCCGGGGGTAGAAATATTAAACTTTTTTGCATATTTTTGATGATTTAAGCATATTTTTGTATAATTTATAGAGGTTCAGTGGTATTTTCGTCTCTGACTACCGGAGTATAAATAAATTAATTTATAACGAAACTAAATCCTCTCTGATATGTGGTATTGCGTTTTTCAGATGACTTTATTCGAGTTACAGCGGATTAAAAAAAAATGAAGAAAATTGCTTCATTATAAGCCGAAAAAATACATTTTTTTTACGTATATACCGATTTTGATATTTAAAATACAATTTGCTTCAACCTAATTTTTTGGTATTTTTCAAGCATAATACCGATGGTTTTCATGATTATAACATATGCTATAAATATTTTTAAAAATATGAAAATTTTATTCGATGAAGAGCTCCGATAGAAAAAGGTCATGGTTTAAAGATTATCATCCTATTAATTATAACTTCATCGCAAATGCCGGACTTTGACCGCCTGTATCTCAGGAACCCTCCATTGTAATTTATTTTTTTTTTAAGAAGTGTCTTGCCAAGTCTTTCCTAATGGCATTTTTCAATTTAATTTAAGCTAAATTATGAAGGGCCTAAGTATAATCTAAGTGGTTCAAAAACATTGAATAAGAAAATGCAAAAGTCTTCTGCAAAAGTCCAAATGCCACCTCTCACATTAAAATTTAGTCGTTTCTTCACAGATCGACCTGGTCTAGCAGTAAAAGCTCCACTTTTGAGGTTGCGTAGTTGTCGATGTCATATGAGTTGTTTTGCCAGCCAGTTCAGTAAAAAATTCAACTCTCTATACTTCTAAGCAGTTATTCTGGAATAGCAACACCCCAAAGTTTAATAATTTCACTCTGAATTGATGATATAGGAAGGTCTCTAAAGATTACCTTCTTTTTGGTCAAGTAGAGAGATATTATTCTAAAGCTATTTACTTATGGCATGCTAAAGTAATTACTTTAATTCTTTTTCCATGGTAAATGTTATTGTTATTGAGGAATATAATAAGACACTACCTTTTCTGGGTGTTTTAATCTCTAAGAACATGACTGAATCTCTCATACTGAATATGAGGCTCAGGTGTATAGAAAACCAACATACACCAACAGATATTTAAATTTCAAATCAAAGCATAATATTAATATTAAAAAGGGAATCATTAAATCCTTATACGATAGAGCCAAAGTTACTTGTTCTAACGAACATTCGTTCGTGGAGGAAAAAAAGGGGACATTAACATCTGTTTAATTAAAAAATATCCTTTATCGTTTATAAATAAGGAATTTTCAACAATCGACCGAATTGAACAGAACAACTTAGAACGAGATCCTACAGCATACACAAGGAATAATACGAGGAAAATAGCAATACCATACATAAAAAGATTATCAGAAAAACTTAAAAGGATAGGAAATAAATTCAACATTTTAACAACATTCAAAACAACAAACACGTTGAGATCTATTTTGTCTAAAACCAAACCTAACAATGAACAAGAAAGGACAAACAATTACATTTATAAAATACCTTTTGAATGCGATCAGTTTTATTTAGGTGAAACATCAAGGTCATTAAATGTTAGAATAAGTGAACATCAATCTTATATTAAAAATAGAGAATTTGATAGATCTCGAATATGTAAACACGCATGGGATAATGAACATAGGGTTTAATGAAATGATTCAAATATAGTCCTAAAAGAAACGGATGGTAAAAAAAATCAAAGAAGCGGCTCTAATTATGCTAAATGAGACCAATTGTGTAGCAAATTCCTCGGCAGCATGTAGTAGGATCTGGTTACCCATATTAAAAGAGGAAGTTATTAAAAGGAAAATACCAGTATTAGTAAGTCGGAAACAAATAGAGGATACATCATTTATGTTTTTTTTTAAATAACATACATATAAAATCGGAATTTGGTGTTTATTGAAATTAAACTAAATGTCGGGATAGTATTATGAGGTTTTTTTCCTGGTTTTTCCCTCATAGTTTACTATGGAATCACTAACAGGAGACTTTTACCGTAATCATGGCATGTGTTTGTCTTTTTAAAGACGAATTACATGCTATTTTTTTTTCTGACGGATATTCTCAAGTTAAAGTTGATTTCATGTAATCGAATGAACTATCTTACAAGTAAAGTCGTTCCAGGAAAGCAACTCAACAATATTGGCAATATCATTTTAAAATCGTCTACTTTGAAATGTGTATTATATATCTGAATTATCAATGAGTCAGATAAAATTAAATTATTAGAAGATTTTTTTTCACCAGTAACAAAAAAACAAAATTGATTTAATTTACTAATGTTTGTATTTTGAGAACGATTTCCGAAGTGGAAATTGAAACGTCAATAAACTTACTTTAACCCTCAATTGTGGATAATTTGTGGTATATGTGGATAATAGTAATTACAGTCAGGGGAAAGTATGGAGGCGGTGAGAGAAATGAAAGGGAAAAAAGACTAGTTCAGTTTGCACGTTACCAAAACATGCCAATTAAAAAATATATTCTTTAAGAAAAAATCGAACAGAAAATGGACTTGGTAGCACCAAATGGAACCACTAAAAACAAAATTGACTTCATTTTAACCAACAAGATTGCTACAATTGAATATGTCCTAGATTTTTTCACAGATGTAGTAATAAACAAAATATAGAAATCAAACAAGGTTTTGAAACAACTCATACAATAAATAAATATAGAAAGGAATTAATCTTAAGTTTATACATGGTTACTTAGACAACTTTTAACACTAATGCACATAAATGTGATATTTTTATGCTATAAAGTAAATTGTGTTACAAAGATTAACTACCTGGTACACTATTTATCACCAATAATCTCTCAATTTACGTTAAGGATGCTCACGGCTATTATAATTTAACGCCTATATAAATTTACCTCAGAAGACATACTCGGATTTTAACGACCCTTAAAAATCTGAACGTTCCGTTCCGAACATTTTCTTATACATTTTACAAATTAAACTTCAGTAGAAGAGGAAAGTGAAAAACTCATCGACTGTAAAGCGGAAAAATTGTTATATAATTAAAACCCAATTTAGTTTTTAATTGGAAAATTAAATGCTCAAAATGCGCAACGATCGTGATGCACGCTTCATAAAATATCTGTTTGCGTTGGTTTTATGGAAGTAATTATTATGTTCGGACAATAAAAAGGTAAACAATATATATATATATATATATATATATATATATATATATATATATATATATATATATATATAAAGACATCTTTAAGGAGTTTAATTTAATATAAAAAAAGGGCACTCGTAAGTGAATGGGATGTTTTCGGTCAATTTGGAGATAAAAAAGACAAGAGTTGTGCTAGTTTATCTATTTATTGAAGACGTTTCGCTCACTGTTTAATGGGCATCATCAGTTCATATAAAAGAATGTTATTAGCGATACATCTAATATGTATATATTATAGTTTATTTTTATGTATGTGAGAGTAATAAAAGAATAAATTATGTATGCAAATCCTTAAACTGTTGATACGGGTGACTCAATGAAAAACAGATATTTGTCAACAAGTTTACAGAAGTATATAGGAAAACAATTTTAAATTGAGTATGACCACCAGGTATAAAGGTTGGAGCAGAATAGAATACAATAATTGTGAGGATTACTAATCCCTAAATAAGGTTGCCAGTGTCGGCGTGATGGAGGTTAACAGATACTAATGAATTTGCAAGAAATGTAAGATGTTTATTTTATTGGTTATATATAACCAATAAAAGTTTAATAAGTACCTACCTATTTGCAAAATAAAGTTTAATTCTTTAGATAAAATAAAACGTTTTATTTTATCTGAAATGAGTGCATTCCACGAAGTAAGGGTTTCAACAATCAAACATTTAATTCTTTAATTCCAGGAATCTACGACAGTAATTGACTAGATAATTACCTTCTAAACTTATTCCACAGAAAATGTGATAGTGGGTTTTTCGATTTTGTAGGAAGGTCCAAGTGGCGTATTCAAAATTCTTAACAGTTCACTAAAAGTAGGTACTTCAGTTGCAAGGTGCAGTTTATTGTGTATACTAGTGTTATGGAAAATTTGGAAGTGCCGTGTAAACGCCGAAAAATTGGTCCTTTAACAGTTAATGAAAAAACATTAATATTTAATTGTTTTAAATCATTTACAGACAAACGTTTATGTGAAAGTGTTGATGAGACCGTTGAGTTAGTTAGCAGTACACTTGGTGTTGGAAAATCTACGATTTACAGAGTTATTAAAGAAGAGAAATGTGGTAGTTTTCAAATGCCACGTAATGCTCCAGGGAAACCAAAATTTCAAATAGAATATCATTTTAAAGAAGGACTTCGACGGAAAGTGCATGAATTCTTCTTTAGACAAGAATTTCCAACATTGGATAAAGTTCTTGTCTCAGTTCGAGATGATAAGGATTACCCAGAAATGAGTCGAATACGTTATGGAAACTTTTAAAAGAAATAGGCTTCCGCTGGAAAAAGAATCCCAGAAAGTCTATTTTATTAGAAAGAAGCGATATTGTCATATGGAGAAGACATTTTCTAAGAACCATAAAGGAAATGAGAAACCAAAAAAGAAAATACTTTATCTTGATGAAACATGGATCAACGAGGGTCATACACCAAATAAATTTTGACAGGATGAAACTGTTACAAAGGCACGCTTTTGTAAATAACTTATCTACTGGTTTAAACCCACCATCAGGAAAGGGACGCAGGCTGATAATAGTACACATTGGCAGTTCAGCCGGTTTTGTTGAAGGTGGTTTATTAACTTTTGAATCAACTCGTACCGGTGACTACCATGAAGACATGAACGCTGATGTCTTTCAAGAATGGTTCGAACAAATGATAGATCTTCTTCCTAAGAACTGTGTAATAGTAATGGATAATGCAAGTTATCACTCCAGACTTATAGAAGGACTGCCCACAACCAAGTGGTTAAAAAAAGACTTGCAGAATTGGCTGAGTTCAAAAAATATTACGTACCATCCCGGATCTATAAGAAAGGAACTTTATTCGTTGTGTGCCCTCCATAAAGAAAATTTTACAAAATACGAAATTGATGAAATTGCCAAAAATCGTGGAATGACAGTACTTAGATCCCCACCATATCATTGTGAATTAAACCCGATTGAACTGGTATGGGCACAGATAAAGAGTGAAGTTTCAAGAAAAAATACCACTTTTAAAATTCATGATGTTAAACAGTTGTTTTTGGAGGCCGTAAATAATGTAAAACCTGAAAACTGGGAAAAGGCAGTAAATCACACTATTAAAGAAGAGGAAAAAATGTGGAAGCTGGACAATATTACTGGTAAAATGATCGAGCCAGTCATTATAAATCTTGGTTCTGAAAGTTCATCTTCTGAATCTGATTTGGATTTGTAACAAGTAGCTGTAAGTTTTATATTAATATTTTTATTCATCTATTTAACATACCTTAGACGGTTTTAAAAACTCTTTTTCTCTTTTGTAAGTTTTAAAAATTAAAAAAAAATGTGAATTTTTTAAAACCCTTTTTAATGTAGGCCAGTCAGTTCTAATATAGTGTGTGATAAAAGAGGTCGCTTTTGTTTACATACACATAACAGTTTATAACACTGAAATAATTCATTTATTTTTTACAATTATTCAAAGTAATTTTTCAATTAATCTTGAGCACGCCCATGGAGTGGTCGAAGGTACCAGTTAAAATTATGCTAATTACTCTCTCGTTCATAAAAATATACTATAGATGTATCGCTAATAACAACATATACATTTTTGTTCTAATGAGCAATTTGTAAAGCCTAATTAATATTTTATGATCAGCAACCCAAATTTTGATGTGTATTTAATATATATAAATATATATATATATATATATATATATATATATTATATATATATATATATATATATAATATATATAAAGGAAGAATGATCACAGCTGTCCAATTATTAATTAGTATAATGGTAAGGTTAATTGGGTTAGCAGCTGAATAATGAAAGCCAAAGTGTGCTCTTTTCAACGACTTCGTTATATTTCGTTAAATTTCTTTAACATCTTCAGACGAATGTTGTGTGAGGTTGCAGGCATAAGTGGTATTTGAAAGTTCCATGTTGAAAAACTTTTTTGAAGATTTTTTATTATAAAGCAAAAAAAATAATATAAGTTGTATGTGTTATATGGTGGCTTGAAAACTCAAACAATAAAAGTGCATTTTTGTTATTTTTCTCCAGTGTGATAGTACAATACAAATATTAAAAAACATTGAACATTTAAGAAACAAAACAGTTAAAACACAACTACATATCACATCCAAAATGGTCCAATTGGTCCAAAAAATGACAATGTGATATGTAGTTGTGTTTTTAACTGTTTTGTTTCTTAAATGTTCAATGTTTTTTAATATTTGTATTGTACTATCACACTGGAGAAAAATAACAAAAATGCACTTTTATTGTTTGAGTTTTCAAGCCACCATATAACACATACAACTTATATTTTTTTTGCTTTATAATAAAAAAATCTTCAAAAAGTTTTTCAACATGGAACTTTCAAATACCACTTATGCCTGCAACCTCACACAACATTCGTCTGAAGATGTTAAAGAAATTTAACGAAATATAACGAAGTCGTTGAAAAGAGCACACTTTGGCTTTCATTATTCAGCTGCTAACCCAATTAACCTTACCATTATACTAATATATATATATATATATATATATATATATATATATATATATATATATATATATATTAATATAAGTAATAAGTATATTTAATCTCTTTTGGCAGAAAAGCTGTAGTTTATTTATGTGCGAATTCCAATTTAAAGTTCTCTCAAAAGTTAGACCTAGAAAGTTTATTTCTTTTGATTGCTCTAAGGGTAAATTATTTAATGTTAGATTAGTAGTAAGGTGGGTTTTTATTTTTATTAAAAGTAATGTATCGTATTTTTTCAGTAGAAAAAACCAATCCCGTTTTTATCGTCCATGTATGAAGCCGGTTTAGGAAACTTTTAGGAAACTAATTTTAGTTGCTGTCATTACATTATTTGATTTAGTATAAATAACGATGTCATCTGCGTAAAGACTAGCTTTATTGAATGCTTTTATTACATCCATAATACTATTAAAAACGATTAAGAATAAAGTTGGATTAAGGATCGAACCTTGAGGAATTACAAAATTTGTAACAGCCTGTTGTGTCAGATCTGCGTACGACTATTAGAAGGTTAAGTTCTAGTTCCTTTGTTTTATAAATGTTCTTAAAAAGGAAAACTTCAGCCCATTCCTCTAATAATACAACTCTTGATTTTTGATTTATAATCCCCATATTTTTATCTGTTTCCATGTATGAATGCTCTCTCCTTGGAAAAATCATATATATGGTCTTAAGTCTCTTCTCTATGTGAATAAGATGATACAGAAAACTAGCAACTGTACAGTTTTTATTTTGGCCCCCACAAGAATCTGCGAATATAAACAACTCTTCAACTGAAGAATTAAGGAAATTATGGACGAAATGATGAAGGAAATAAGACACATAATCTGCGCTTTTTCCCTATTGTCTGTAGGTATGTATAAAAAACACTTTTATTGAAGGCTAATATGTCTATGTTAACCGTAAATATGGATAATTGTCTTTTGTAATAGACATCATTTGTTGAAATGTTAGGCACTGGCAAGTTCTTTTGGTAGTCAATGCAAATGCTTTCGATTTTTTCATTGGATTTGCATAACCTTTTCATTTGCCGTTTTTTCTTGTAAAAAGCTTCTGCTTTCATTTTATGAAGTTTGCTTGCAGTGTAAAGGTTTTTTGTCTGTTTTTTTCAGAAAAAGAATTACGGCCTCCGATAGCATATGAGGGCGATTAGCGTGTTTACCTCTCTTGTTTGTAGGTGCCTCTCCAGTTAATTTCGAAGATGTTTCAATACTTATAATTGTGTAATGTTTATATAAAAGTTTAGTTACACACAAAAATATACAAATTATAAATTATTTATTAAATAGGTCAGTGAAGTTTTATTGCCCATTCGATAGATAAATAAAAACAAAAATTGGAATGTAAAAGGGAAGTCTGCGAATACTTACGTTTTGAACCTGATTCGCATTTTCCACATCATCGAATTCGGAGAGCACTCGATCTAACAACTCGATGGAACGTTGGACGTCGTCACCACTACTACTGAAACAAAAATAAAAAGGTTAAAATGGCGCACTTGAATGATCAACGATCCAAAACAAAAACAAAAATATATGCTTGAAATGAAAGGAATGATTTAAAAATACATGTTGATTCGAAACGGAAACATTTTAAAGGCTTGAGTGAAACCAAAATTTATTTCATATAAAAATAAAAGGACTGTATCAAGTTAGATGTTCAACTTTCAATAAATAATGCAGTTAAACTAACAATTTTCTGATGTCATTTGTCTTTAATTTTTAAAAGACACGATAACAATAATAGATCAGAACGGATCTGTTTTGAGGTGGATGCAATCTCTGATTTTTGCAGAAAAAATTGATAACTTCAATTATACTAATTAGCTTGCTTTCCCTCTCAAATAGGACTCACCGTTTTTTCTCCTTTTCTTGCTTATAACTTTAAATTGTTCACGTTAGAGCCATAATTAAATTTTATAAATGATACGGCTGGCTAAAAATAATTAGATATATTATCCTTTATAAATAGCAACAAATACAGAAAATGGGTGGAAAACAAGCCTTTCCTTTAGCCTTTTCTTAATAAATGTTTTTCAACCACTTAAATTGCAGTTAGTACCTTAATAATTCGCCTAGAAAATCTTTATACACACGACAAAAAAAGACGAGATAAATAACTTTATGTCCCAGATTGATTCTTCTGACGGACCCACAAGTCGGAAAACTTGCCTCAAACATGGATTTAGATGAGGCTGTATTTAAGTGATTTACTCAAAAAAGATTCCAGAGAGAGCCTATTTCTGATCTGATTCAGAACTGATCAACGACAAATCTAAGGAGCTGTCAAATTTTCAAGCAAGCACAGGCTGGTTAAAGCGAATAAGACGAGAACATTCGTAAGCTTCAAATACAAGGATAAAAACAGTGCTGGTTTAGTAGCAAATTAATTCTAAATTAATTTAAGAGAGTTACTTGAAGGAACAAAATTACGCCCTGATAAACGTTTAAAATGCAGACGAAACTGGGTTTAATTGGAAAGCTTTGCCACGAAAAACTTGCGTTACGTCGTGAATTAGCAGCACCTGGACCTAAAATAAGCAAGGACCGTATCACTGCTTTAGCTTGTGCTAATGCGACTGATAGCCACTGATTGCCCACGTTTCCCCGGCACCCCGGTAAAAGCAAGAAACCGTGTTGTTTAAAACACATGTCTGCGGTCCCTATCGTTTACGTTTTGCAAAAAAGTGCTTGGATGGATAGTACAATTTATAATGAAATGGTTTAAAGAAAGTTATATTCTCTGTCAAAGCTCATCAATTAAAAAAGGGCAAAATGCAGAAAACATTATTGTTTCATGATAATGCCCCAACTCATCTATGATGGAATGAGAACGACATGTCCTTAAAAAATCACGTGATCTAGCTGCTTGTAAAAGGTTAGACTTGCTTCGACAAACCGAAAATCAAAGATTTTTTTAAGCGTTACCAATAAACGCTTAAAAAATCTTTAATTTTCGTCAATATTGAACATTTGTTGTGTGCAGTTCATCATCAAAACAGTTCATCCTATCACTCAATTCAATAGATTTCGCATAATAATTTAACAACCTAAATTTTGTTAAAAAACAAAAACTAAAGCGTATAGAAGTTAATTCTTTATTCTGTTATTTTTTTTAAATATAAAAGAGCACTCCGCCGATACAACGTACTTTATAGAATTAAAGAATCTAAACAACAATTAAATATTTAGGTAAATATTAGTTTAAAGTAAAGTCTAAGAAAAGTAGAGGTTGGGGCACTTGTGCCTGGGAAAATTTTGTACCTCCATACCATCGCAAGCTCCTCCCACTCTGACGTCACACATTATGTCGAAGGAATCTACATTACTGACTAATGGTTCAATTATTATTCGCTAATCGGCACTACTAATTTGCCATATTAAAATCCACATTACTTTACAAATTATTTAGACCGATCCCCTTTGCTAACTGACGGATGACGTATGACAGATGGGTAGGTAAAAATCTTGATATACAGGGTGTAGTCAGAAAATTATTTTGCTACATGTTATGATTTGTGGATGGGATTTAAGTCATATCGTGACGTATGATATATCATTGGAAAGAAAAGGGGATGAAGCTTCTTTAAATAAAGTTGAATTATGTGCAGTGGTTCCTGAGATCTTCTTCTTGGCCTTCTATCGTCCATGTTTGGACATAGGCCTCCCCCAACTTCTTCCATCGATCTCTATCCTGAGCAACATATTTCCAGTTTGTTCCGGCTATTCTTCTAATGTCATCAACCCATCTCATCTGTGGTCTTCCTCTTGGTCGTTTACTTTCGTAAGGTCTCCAATGTTGTATTGTAGTATTCCAACATTGATTCCTGAGATACAACCAGTCAAAGTTGACCGGCATTTTCCACGAAATTATAAACAATAGGATGGTAATCCTTGAACCATTACCTTTTACCTTCGGAGCTCTTTTTCGATAAAAATTTCCATATATTCGAAATACTCATAACATACATATTATAATAATATCGATCGGTATTGCGCGTGAAAAATACGAAAAACACTAGGCTGACGAAAATTTAATTTCAAAGTTCAAGTATGACTAAACGTAAAAAAAATGTATTTCCTCGTCTTCCAATAGAGCAATTTTCATCTTTTTTTTAATCCGATATAACTTGAATAGAGTAGCAGAAAAGAAGCATTAGCAATTTATAAACTTTCACCAAGCCTGAATAATTATCTAAAATGTCTAAAACGTTAAAGGTACTCTATAACTATATTTAATCAGTATTAGATTTCGAAACTCAAACTATATAAGTGTATACACACTAAAAAAGAAAAAGCACAGAGACGTAAGGAAACGATAATTTAGTGTGCACAACGAGTGCACACTCAGAAGTGAGTCTTTCTTCTCCAAAATTTGAAAACTACACAAAAAAAGAAGGGATATCTCCCACTCAAAAACGACAGATCAGCCTGTATCTATTTCTAAGAAGATAAGGTCTTAACGACAATCGGAAAGTTCAGGGTAAATAATGGTACCGCAATTGGACATGAGAAAATTGAAATATTTGGATTAGGTAATTTGATCAAGGTACGACGGCCATATTCTGAGAGGAAAAAAATACGCAATCCCTCAACTAATCATCCAGGGAAAGATTGAAGGCAAGAGAGGAGCAGGTCGCAAACAAATGTCGTGGCTAAGGAACATAAAAAACTGGACAGGCATAAATAGTACTGGCGATCTTTTGCATGCCGCAAAAGACAGACGTCTGGCCTTAAGATAATTCTCCAACGCACTATAGGTACACGGCACTATAAGAAGAAGAAGGATTAGGTTATTATAGAAAGAAAACATTACAACGTGCCCCGACGATATTTATTAAATTTATCATAAAGGAACCCGGCCTTAAAGCCGGAGGAATTAACCGAGAATTACTTAAACCGTAGTTTTTAATAAGTCGGTTATTCCGTATTTTGAGGTAGTCGATAGGTTCAATAAAAATTTTGCCTCTGTTAAACCGACCATGAGCGTATAAGCACGGGGGTAAAACAATTAACAATAATTTAATATTTTAATCATAAAAAAAATATTACAACCTTCTCTGTATATGCTATCTACATATTACATACACCTTCTGTGTATATGCTATCTACATATAAATTTGATCCTAAAATTTAGATCTTCACTTATAATATGTTTAATCAAAAGCTCTTAATGTTAATAAACAGTGGAAATACGATTTATAAAACGCTATCTTGGTTCCTATTGGTCATACAAAGTTCTTTTTTAAAGATTGTTATTTTTGACCATAAGTTAGCCCTTTTTCCAACGGCTTTTTTAATTACAATTTTGATAATATGGTGATTTCTTTTAATACATCTTAAAATTGAAGCATCGAAGAATCGATTGAGATCTGCTAAATACCTGTGGAGTCACTGTTTGGGCAAGTACAGTTGTTTCAATGACCTCTCTCCAGAATAAACAAACTGAATAGCTGACAAACTATCTGGTAGATCTGGAGATTTAACTCACTTCAATAACTCATTAATTTCCTTTATTTCAAGTAGTTATATTACATTGCATTACTAAAAACCAACATACTTACTGGGGTATATTGTTTTGTTGTTGAATATACTTCCATTGAAGTTCTCAAACATCATAACAACTTAAAATTCTAACAATATTTATGACATTAAACAGTGTAATAACCATTCATATTGTAGCTGTTCTCCAAAAATTATAAAACTCCGGAGCAAAATAACGTTTAGTTTGAATTTGATGATCAGCTACTAAAAGTTTAACGGATATTAAGTTAAAAAAACAAATCTATTATTGCAGAGTTCTTACTACATAACAAGAACAAAAAATTTTTCACATTTTTACATTTTTCCTGCATGGGTATGATCATTAATACAGAGTTTATATCTACAATGTATGTGATATTTTTTTCAAAAGAAACGAAATAAATCAACATCTTATAGTTGAGACATTCTTTTATTTAATTCGCATGCTTCGTAGTAATATAGACGAGAATCATAAACCGAAAGATTGGGTCTAATATTCCAGCATTTTTACGAGTGTTATTTCCAGTATCTACACGTTTGTGCTAGTTAAAACAAGAAATCGTTTCATTTATTTACTGGTTGACCACGAAACCTTGTCGTATTAATCTGATAATGTACTTGAACCCTATTTACTCGTCTCTCAACGAACACATGACGAATTGTTCAGTGTTGATAGCCGGTAATAAAGCACTTACTTACTTCAACTACGACTTCCAAGAGAGAGCGGCTAGACATCTTTTTGTAGCTTGTTTTCGTTGCCAGGCTTGGATTGGATTCAAGAAGACAGTTTAGAATTGATTCAAATTCGTCGTGTCAGAAGAAATATATTCGATAATAAAATGTAGTAAGATCGATATACAAGACCAGTCATGTCATATTTATTTATTAGCTAACATTATATATAACTATAGTTTATTTCAGATGTCCGTAAAGTAAAGGAATAGTGC